AAAAAAAAAAAAAAAAAAAAACCACACACACACACACACACACACAAAATTGAAGATCCTGGATAGAGTGGGAAAAAAATGTGGAACAAAATTCAAAATGATAAAAAAAAAAAAAAAAAAAAAGACCAGGTTTACTGGTATTATAGAAACTGGTAATCCCTTGTGAGACTATGATCTCTAGTTACCATTCAGCCCTGGAATCGAACTCACTGCCATGGTTTACAGCCCAGCAATAGACAAGTGTATAAGGTGAACTCTCTTTAGAACAATCAAGCATGGGAGATGAGAAGGGCAGTATTTGCACAGGGAGATAGCTCAGAGGGCAGGGATGCATAGGAAGGGGCACAGGGAAAAGATAATCCCAGGGAGGAAGTGGGGAAAGAGCTGTTACATTGTGGGGATTGCAATTAATATCAGGTCAATCCTCAAAGTTAAATCACCCTCACCAGCTTCATGCTGCATATATCTTACGACAGTCTAGGAAACAGAACTCAAGAAATTCCCACAAAAGTAGAGATAGCCTATTTCATATTCTTAAGATCTAGATATTTCACCTAATGCCTTCACTGAGCATTGCAACCTGGAGCATCTAGGCTCTGTTTCCTTCACCCAACCTTAAAGTTTAATACAACCACTTGAAGAATATGCCTAGTGGTTAACTACTCTTACATTCAGCTTAAAGTAGGATTTAAATCAGAAAATCTCACCACTTTTCAAAAACTTGTGCAAATATATCAGACATTGGATTTGTATTCTTTTGGCAGCCTAATACATATTTTTAAAGTTATGTGTTTATATGAGTAGTCTTACAAAGATAAGTGGAATGCAAAAGTTGGAAATAAAAAAGAAGGATCAGTAGCTGGGAAATATGGTCCTGGTGACAGAAACAAAGCTGGAGATCACATGATAGAATTTTACAAGACCATTGACTTAGTCATTGCAAATACCTTTTTTCAATACATGTGGTGACTATATGTGGGTATCTTGCTAGATGGAATACAAAGGAATCAATTAGACTACATCTGTTACACGGGGCTCTGTGGAAAGAGAAAACGGAGAAGTTCAATATCATTGTCAGAACAAGGCCAGGGTAGACTATGAAACAGACCATTAATTGCTCATATGCAAATTCTAGCTGAAGCTGAAGAAAATTAAAACAAGTCCATGAAAGCCAAAGTATGACCTTGAGTACATCCTACCTACATCTCAAGAATATGTTTGATAAATTGAACACTAATGACTGAAGAGCAGATGACTTGTAGGATGGCACACATGATGTACAAGAAGAAAGTAAAAGTTCATTAAAAAGACAGGAAAGAAAGAAAAGACCAAAATGGATGTCAGAAGAGACTCTGAAACTTACTCTTGAATGTAAAGTTGCTAAAGCTAATGGAAGAACCGATGATGTAAAACAGCTGAAGAGATTTCAAAGGGTGCTTGAGAAAAGAAAGTAAAGTATTATAATGAAATGTACAAAGACCAAAGGGAAGAACACGCTCTGTGTTTCTCAAGCTGAAAGAACTGAAGAAAATAATTCAAGCCTTGAGTGGAATATTGACTGATTCTATGGGCAAAATAATGAATGACACAGGAAGCATCCAAAGAAGATGGAAGGAATACACAAAGTAAATGTACCAAAAAGAATTGGTTGATATTCAAACATTTCAGGAGGTAACATATGATCAAGAACCAATGATATTTAAGGAAGAAGTCCAAACTGCACTGTAGTAATTGGCAACAAACAAAGCTTTAGGAATTGACAGAATACCCATTGAAACATTTCAAGAACAAATATAATACTGGAAGCATTCGCTGTCTATACCAAGAACTTTGGAAGACAGTTACCTGGTAAATCAACTGGAAAAGATCCATATTTGTGCTGAACCAGAGAAAGGTGATCCAATGGAATGTGCAAATGATTGAATAATATTACTATTACCCACAAGTAAAATTTTTGCTACTGATAATTAAAAAACAATTGTAGTAGTACATCAACAAGGACTTGCCAGAAATTCAAGCCAAATTCAGAAGAGGATGTTGAAGGAGGCGTATCATTGCTGATGTCGGAAGAATCTTGGCTAAAGGCAAAGATTCCAGAAATATGTTTACTTGCTTTTTATTCACTATGCAAAGACATTTGACTGTGTGGATCATAACAAATTATAGATAACATTGTGAAGAATGGGAATTACAGAACACTTAATTGTGGTCATATAAAACCTGTGCATAGATCAAGAAGCTGTCCTTTGAACAGAACAAAGGGACACTGCATGATTTAAAATCAGGAAATGTGTGTGGCATGGTCGGTCCTATCACCATACTTTTTCAATCTCTGTGCTGAGCAAATAATCCAAGAAGCTTGACTATATGAAGAAGAATATGATATCAGGATTGGTGGAAGAAACATTTGGCTGCTAACCAGAAGGTCAGAGGATCAAACCCATCAGCTGCTCCACAGAAGGAAGATGGGGCAATCTACTTCTGTAAAGATTTACAACCTAGGAAATGCAATGGGGGTGGCTATGAGTCAAAATCAACTCGATGGCAGTAAGTTGTTTTTTTTTTTTTTTTTTGTATATGCAGATGACACAACCTTGCTTGCTGAAAATGAAGAGGACTTGAAGCACTTCAGTATGGATTACACCTCATGAAGAAGAAAAGCAACATCATGATAAATGGAGAAAAGAAAGGATTTAACTTCTTTTGTATCCACAATCATTGCCCATGGAATCAGCAGTCAAGAAATCAAAGGCTGTATTGCATTGGGGAAATCTGGTGCAAAAGATCTCTTTTGAAAGTTAAAAACAAAGAGGTCACTTTGAGGATTAAAGTGTGCCTGACCCAAACCATAGTATTTTAAATTGCCTCATATCATGCAAAAGGAGCTCTGGTAGCATAGTGGCTAAGGCACTTGACTGCTAACCAGAAGGCTGGTG